TATATATATATATATATATATTTGTGTGTATGTATGTATATGTATGTATGTATGTATGTATGTATGTATGTATGTGTCCCAAGAGTGGATCGTTGCTGCCATGATTACCCATGCTCAAAATTGAACATTAGTGGACTATTTAATACACTTTTAATAATAATAACAAAAGCTACAATAACGGTTTTTATTACAGCTCATGTAACTTCCTTCATTTTCATTATAAGTATAATTTATTATGTATAATATATATAAACATTTATTAATAAATTAGTGTGTGAAAAATAATTAAAGAAAATAACATTTTATTCATTTGAAATACTACTATTTTTCCAATAGCAATGCCAGATATCACCATCGTCAATGCCATCTGTGATGATAGTTACTCCTATTACAAAGTTATTAGTAGTCATATAAGAAATGCAAGTTGCCAATCTGCATATTACTTGTAAATTTTCTAGAATCAATCATAATAATAACCTTCAATCATTTAATATAGCTTCAACTTAAACCAGATGAAAGCAAATAGCTGGTGAAATAAGATTCACACATTCACATTCGAGTTTAAGATATACGGAGTAATTGTATACACTATCAAGCTTGGTTAACAAAGAAATCGCATAACTGTGATCTTGAAATAGCTTCGAATGACTTTAGTGGCGTCTTAGGAAATTTGGAGGTAAAAAGCATAGGAAACATATGAAAAGGAAAGATATGATTTGATTTCAGAAAATTGCTCGTCAATAACCTTACCGCTACCACCGTTGGAATTACCGAATTGCTATGCAATTGATCGATAGCTCCGTCTTCTCTTCCATGAAGGGAGAAGCATCGGTAGCGGCCACACCTCTCAATTTTAGTTGCCGGAGCAGCGACTATGTATAGATGGAAGAGTGACCATAGTAGCTGACCTGTAAGTATTCAACAAATTTCCGTTCGTCGGCGAGACTGCGAAAGTGAGGTGCTGATTTCGAGCCGCACCTCCTTCTCAAGTGTTTCTGCAGCAGAGAGGGGGAGAAGGAGTATCGCTCGGCGTGGAGTTTTGGGACTGAGTGGAAGTTAACGCTTGTTGCTGCAGGGGTTAAGATATTTTTGAAAACGCCAATGAGCAAGGAGGGTATAGGTTCTAGTTTTAACTGATAAGCTATTTTTGAAATATAAAAATTACAAGTGAAAAGTAAAAGTCTAAATATGAAAAATAATTTATGGTGTGCTATAAGAGGAATGTGATGGACAATAGTGGTTAAAACGGGATATTTCCACTTCTTAATTAAACTGAAATTTTATGGTCTGATATGATCTGATCTAGTCTGATATAATAAATGTCTGATATGATCTACATATATTGAAATTTATTAAAATCAATAATGTATAAGATTTTTTTTGGAAGAATTATGTTTAAATTGATAGTGGGCGAACCGACAAAAAGGCTCCTGAAAATCGCTGTCCCTCGAACCAGACTCAGAGTTTATCACCTCGACAGAAGCAATATAACTCGCTGATCAATTGGCACAAATGAGCCAAAGACGGTTAACGCAGTCCTTCCATCACCCATATCCAAATCCAAAGTCTTACAGCAGAAAACAAACAACAAACGAATGTAAATAGCATGATCCAGACAATTAAAATAAATAACAACAAAAAAATAAAAGTCTTGTCCCAACTTTCCGATCACCACCATCCTCCACTTCCGTGGCGGCGGTTCAGGAGGAGGTCGAACCAACAATACTGCATCTTCTTCCTCATCTTGCTTCTTGTTGGTCGATCTCCCTTTCATACATCCACGTTGCCAAATGCCAATCCTCAACTCTTTGAGTCGTGAAGCGATGGACAAGCAAGCCATGACTGACCACAATCTGCAAATTAGAGAAAGCAAAAACAACAACCTCCATAACCAGCGCACAATCGAATCTGATGCCTTTCTTTGTCGAGCCCCTGTCTGTCTCACCAAAGCCGACCTCCCTCCGTCGTCTGTCCGTCAAGATAGCCGTAAGATTGGGACGCCTAAACCGCAACACTCCTTCCAGCCACCTGCTAATCCTCCTCACTGACAATAACTGGATAAGCCTCGGTGCCGTAATCGCTGGGCGATCACCACCGGACAAGCTGAAGCTAAGCGTTGCCTAATTGGCAACCCTAGAGTTCTACAGGAGCAGACGGCGGACTAACTAAGGGCGGCAACCATAGAGTTCCATAATGTATAGAACTTTGATGAATTATAATCGAACACAGCAAAATTCCATAAATGATAATGTATTAAAATTTTAATTTTGTGTAAAGTAGAACTTGTGGGAAGTTTGAGGAATTTTTTGAATTATGTAGTATAATTCCATTCTAAGTTTAGGAAGTTTTTTGTACAATTTTTTTAAGAACATGAGTTGATTAGAAGATGATGTGGAATTGTTGGAAATCTGATCTAACTTAGTCTAATCTAACTTTAGTTCGAATAATGGAACACAATATAATAGTTATTATTATCAATATACTAAATTAGAAAGAGAATCTTAAATATTATAATGAATGTTTGTTTAGAAGATGACACGTGTCAAAACTTTCCATCTTTGAAATGTACTTCGTATTATTTATAGATTTATAAAAGAAGGAAAATGTATTCGCTATATAGATTTTTTTATTTTGCAACAATGCATAAATAAAAACAAAAAATACAGTGAATAAGTTATTTGAATAATGCAATTGAGCTATTGATGAAGAGCCATATACTAATTTGTAAAAAAATTATAGTGATTTTTTAACATTAATGGGGTGGTGGGAGGCCTATATATAAATCTTTTGGGGACTAAATGCAATTACCCACACACTCATTTTATGTTTTTGATTTTACTCCAAAGCATGAATTTAAAAGGGTGTGTAGCCGTGAAGATTATGAGTCTGTTTGGTGACTCCGTTTTTCGGTTTATCTAGCTTATCAACAATCTTTTTAACGAAACATGTAACTTTTGCTTTCGCGTGCTGAATTGTGTAATAATAAGGAAAAATAAGTTTAGAGTTACTTTTCTGGGTGTATTATATGGAGTAACTGTAGATGACCATTTTAACTTTTTTCACATATTTTTTCTTTATTTTATTAATAAAATATATTTCAAATATAATTTTTTCATAAATCAGCAGAATTAGCCAATGTAGCTACTTCAGCTAGAACTTCACAAAATTTCAGCAGAATAAGTCGATTCAACCGATTTCAGTGTAAAAAACGGGCTCATAATATGTTTGGACTTGTTGTCATTCAATTCAAGTTTATAGTAGAAGATTCTATTCTAAAATGAGTGGTTAGAATAAGCTTAGACGTAGGGAGTATTTGTGTTTGCTTGTGTTTCTTAAAAATGATTTATTTAGGAGATTGTTGGAAGAATGATTTATAGCAGAAGTAAGCAGTGTTTGTGAATGGAAGAGATTTTAATTAAAGGGTAAAAGTTAAAGTGTTAGATAAAAAAATGATTTATAATGTAATGTTGGGTGGAAGTACAAACACGCCCTTATGTAAATTCAATTTGCCTTGTGACACCATTTCGAGAGACACCCAAGACGAGGAGCTTTGCTCCATTCCGCTTTAAAATCCACCGAAAATTGACTTCGTTAAACTCATCACCTCCTATACAAGGGCAAATTATATCGTGGGATCGGTGTACGATGCGCATGATATTTCGATCCCAAATATGGTGCCGTTTTTATAACATAATTGGCCGTGAAAGTGTTGAGTATGAGTAGTGAATATGCTAATACATAATGTTATACATGGCAGTGATTCAAAGGCAACAAATAGCGTAACAACATTGAAGTAAAGTGCAGTGATTTTGACTAGTAGTGCGGTAACGCAAAGCAGTAATGCCACAATGTAATACAATATACATAATTAGACGTGAGATAATAAAATTATTAAATCTATATAAAAAAAATAAAAACTATAAATAAGTTCCCAAAGTGAATGAGAAGATAATTAGTTTTGGCGCAAAGTGCAGTGATTATTACTAGATGTGAAGTAATGTCGTGCATTAACGACAATATAAAGTGAAGTAATTTTAATTGGCCGAAATTACTGCAAAATACACATACTTTAAATAATGGTATTTTTGTCATTCAATATTTAAATATAAATGAGTTTTTTTTTGGATTTTCGGTCATACAAAGGTTCAAAAACAAGATAGGTCATAGATTGGAAAACTCATTGAATTTGAGTCATATCATAAGAAATTTCCCTTCGTTTTTTCCATCAACACGAGTTACAATTTCCATAATTACATACCAAAATAAACCTCAACTATTGAAAACAAATGTTTTTTTTTGGCAAAGAAAAGATATTTAAAAATAAATTATGGCCTTAATTAATATTAAAAACAAAACATATTCATTACTTATGTAAAGTAATTGAGCAATTAGACCACTTTTTTCATTGTTTACATTGAAATCAATGTTTTATTTCTTTTTCTCTGTATTAGAAAAGTTACATCTCAACTTGCCTGCGGTTACATTGCATATCAACGTGAGTTAGATTTCATTACCTCACAAGTTACATCACTTTGCTAGTGGGAACAAAAAAAGTTACTGTTCACGCATATTACCGTTCACACGTGAATTAGCTGTGGGAGCACCATGCTCACCGTGGGCTGCTCCCACGGTATAGCATTTATGATGCACCATCAGGACAAGAGCATTTATGATGCATAGGCATCCTCCATAGATAAAAAGCAACAGCAAACCTCCTCATCCAAGAAGAATGGTATGCATACATCATCTACACATTATAAAATATTTACAAAAAGACAAAAGCATCTCCAAGGCTGCTTCCGGTTTTTGGCTTGAAAGTATTTAAATTAAGAAGAAGTTTGTGTTTAAAAAACGCTCATTTTAGTTTTTTTCCACTCAAAAAAGAACATAAGAGTTTTTTAAGTCTTTGAAAACACTAAAATTGTCTCATATAAAATTTGGTGAAATTTATATGATTTTAAATCATTTTAACTTTATGTTTACTATATTAATTCGATAACAATCACATAAATTTACTTCGATAATTGGATTACATCCTAGTGTTTCATTATCAGTGAGACGGAGATGGAGTGAAGTAATCCATAAATTAATTTTAAAATTAAAAAAGAAAAAGCAAAAAAGGCGGTGAGATTTGGGAATCAAATGATGGGGGCAGCGTTCACTGTAACCGTCTAATTGGTGGGAAAAGCCGAGTGGAATTCGTGCGTTATTCCATTTTTTGAAAAGGCATTTTATAAAGTAAATCTCATCACTTATTACCCTAACCAACTAATAATTGCTCCACTATAAATTGACTAACCTTTGAAATTCGATCTCAGCTAGAGGTAGAGCTCGCACGAACCCGAAGCTCAGGGCCTTTTCTTCTTCTCAATCACCCGCCACAACGTACAAAACCTTGCACGGTAATCTGAGCACATTGATTTCTAATATTTTCTCTCGAACCATTAAATTTTACGGAGAGCTTTACTCCTTTTTTTATTTTTTGTGCACAAACACGGATTGTTATTTTTCTAGTGGGGTTTTTCCTTCATTTGAGTATTCACATTGTTGATTCGGAGTCTCTACAAATGTCCTGTTTGCGTATTAGTAGTCTGCTTTTAATCAATGGAGCGCAGATGACCTGCTCAACTTTGAAAGGTTTTATGTTTCTTTTGTGCTGCTCTTGATCGAGTCTTTGCCATGCCTATGCCTGTTTCATTTTCAATTTTTATTCTGCTTCAGAAATGCTCCTAGGCTGGAGTCAATTTGATCAAAGAGGACATTTTTTAAAAGTTTTTTGTATTGGGTCAGATAAGCTTGCACGTCTCTGATATTTTTGTACGCTATAACTGATTAAAATAGACTTTTTTGGCTTATTGTTTACTTGATTAATATTTCTCGTGACAGTTTTGAAGCTGAAAGGTGAGATGGAAGCTGACGGGGAACATGGTCTGGAGACACCTTTACTGCAGGATCCAAATGTCGTGACAATCACAGTTGATCAGACAAATGGTGATTCTAGGAAGAAAGTTAGGACTCTAACATTCAAAATAGGTGGTATAACGTGTGCGTCTTGTGCTACATCAATAGAAACTGCAGTGGGAAGACTAGATGGAGTTCAGAGCATCATGGTGTCTCCTCTCCAAGGCCAAGCTACCGTAAAATTTGTTCCAGAATATATCAGCGTATGTTGTGTTTATGAGTATACATCAAAATTATTGTTTACAATGTAATTAATAGTGGAGATTTTGGCTTTTACGTTAGACTTTCTAACACACTTGCTCACGTCCTTTTATTCAATTGGATAGATCAACCTGTAATTGGCTCAATCACTGACAAGCTAAATTGGTTTTTATTCGTACCACACTCAGCTTCTCTGTGTTTTGGTTCTGGAAAACTGAATCCTAACAGTAAGAGAGATTTTATCTTTTTCTACGTTGGCTTTTTCCTAATCTTTAATTCCTCAGAGATCAAGCAAGAAAGTTAAGTTTCTTTGGTCGATGAAAAATTAAGCACTTTAGCACTATATCACGGAGATGGCTGCAAGTAGTGCTTCTTATAATTATACATAGTCCGTAGTGGAAGTTCTAATTTCAATAAAATATCTCAGGCAATGAAGATAAAAGAAGCTGTGGAAGATGCGGGCTTTGGAGTTCATGAGTTTCCTGAAGATAATGCGGTATGTCGAATCAGAATCAAAGGGATGGCATGCACAAGCTGTTCTGAATCTGTAGAACGAGCACTGTCAATGGCTAGTGGAGTCAAGAAAGCTGTTGTTGGTTTAGCTCTTGGAGAAGCTAAAGTCCACTATGACCCAAACCTTACAGACACTAACCACATTGTTGAAGCAATAGAAAAGGCTGGCTTTGGAGCTGATCTGATTAGCTCTGGCAGTGATTTAAGTAAGATACATCTTAAAGTAGAAGGAATTGGTACTCTGGATCAGTGGAATAAAGTTAAATCCTCACTTGAGTATTCTGAAGGTGTAAGTCAGGTTCAAATGGACTTTCAAGAGAACAGGCTCACAATTAGTTACGAGCCGCATACAATTGGTCCTCGAACTCTTATTCAGTGCATCAAAGAGGCTGATCATGGAACCAATTCGTATCACGTAAGCTTGTACACTCCACCCTGTGGACGTGAAACAGAGAGAGAACATGAAACCCAAATGTATAAGAGTTTGTTTCTGTATAGCTGCATATTCTCAGTTCCAATATTTGTTTCCTCTATGGTGCTTCCAATGGTACCGCCTTACGGGAATTGGTTAGACTATAAGGTTTTCAATATGCTCACAGTTGGGGTGCTTCTAAGATGGGTCCTTTGCACCCCTGTGCAGTTTATAATTGGTCGAAGGTATGCTTTAACTTTACAATATGCAGAAGATCTTTTGTATTTTCCACATTTATTATTATTGCTATGGTTTTAGTTTCCATCTTTGAATATGTAAGCCACAGATAAGTTGAGAGATCAAGTTGAACTTTTTTTTGAAGGTTTTATGTGGGATCATATCATGCACTTAGAAGACAATCTACAAATATGGATGTTCTAGTGGCTTTGGGCACTAACGCTGCATACTCCTATTCAGTATACATAATGATAAAAGCTTTGACTTCACATTCATCTGAGGGGCAAGATTTCTTCGAAACCAGTGCCATGTTGATTTCCTTTATTCTTTTAGGAAAGTATCTTGAAGCTCTGGCCAAAGGGAAAACATCTGATGCTTTGGCAAAGTTAATTGACCTTGCTCCTGAAACAGCCTACCTTCTAACACTGGATGGAGCTGGAAATGTCTTATCAGAAGTTGAAATAAGTACTCAACTAATACAGAAGGACGACATACTTAAAGTTGTCCCAGGTGCAAAGGTTCCTGTTGATGGCACAGTTATTAATGGTCAGAGCCATGTGAATGAGAGTATGGTCACAGGAGAAGCAAGACCAGTTGCTAAAAAGATTGGTGATAAGGTATGCGTTGGATTATAATCCAAAAAAAGTGTCATGTTTGAGAAAGGTATAACTTTGTTTCCTGTCCAGTGTCAACTCGTTCAGGGCACAAGCTTTATAGATTCTGAATGGTCATGTATACTCCTAAAACTTATTTACAAGATCGTTTTCAGTAACTTCTTACAACCCCTTGCAGCTTGGCTTTACAGGAGTTTTACATAAAAATGAAAGTTGACTTTTAAGGCTTGACCGCTTTTTGGGACAAAAAAGTTCTTGAAACATGACTCGTTTTTTGGCGGAGGGAGTATTAGACATGACTAAGAGATGTGTTGAATTGTGCCTTACAGTATTATTTGTGGAAATAACACTGTACAAGTATTAGGTGATAGGTGGAACAGTGAATGAGAATGGGTGTATATTGATTAGGGCCACTCACGTTGGTTCTGAGACTGCTCTTTCACAAATCGTCCAATTAGTTGAAGCTGCTCAGCTCGCAAGAGCACCTGTTCAAAAGCTGGCCGATCAGATATCAAGATTTTTTGTTCCTACGGTATATTTTTATTTTATGTAATGCAAATTTGGCTCATGTTGCAAGTATGTGATTGCAGGAAAACATATTGACGAACTAGTTTCCAAAAGAGTCTTGGGGACATGCAGATGAAAAGCTGCATACATAATAATCCATCAATATGATAACATAAAAACAAGGCATAAATCAGTTTTTTACCCATCTTTTTAGACCATTTGCTTGATTGGGATATTAGGATGCAAACATTTACCCAAAATATTAATTGAATCATCCATATATGTAATTTTGTTTGGTGAGATTCTTAAATTTCCCTAATGATGATGTGTAGAATATGCTTTCCTGCCATATGAGGCCTGTGATGGCCAGTGTACTATGAAGTTGAATTATTTCAAATGTATAAAAAGAATATTCTGAAACATCTTTCAGAGGATGAACGTAATATATGTAACCACATGTCAGGTAGTTGTATCAGCTTTTGTGACATGGGTAGCATGGTATTTACCCGGAGCATTAGGGTTATATTCCAAAAGCTGGATACCGCAAGGCATGGATTCATTTGAGCTTGCATTGCAATTCAGTATATCAGTGCTGGTGGTTGCATGCCCTTGTGCTCTTGGATTGGCAACACCTACTGCAGTCATGGTTGCCACGGGAAAAGGGGCCTCTCAAGGCGTTCTTATCAAGGGTGGAAGTTCTCTTGAGAAAGCACATAAGGTATGCAAACTAAATTTTGTACTCCCTACATCATTAAAAAAAGTAATGTTTGAGTACGATAAAACTGTTTTTAATCAACTTGATCTGTGTACGAGCTTTTACAAGTTGTGAATGGTCTCTTACTAATACAGAAGGACGACATACTTAAAGTTGTCCCCGGTGCAAAGGTTCCTGTTGCTGCTGGCTTTAAAGGAAGTTTATTTAACGTTTAACTTCAACAATTGCTTTTTTTTGTAGACAAAATCTGGAAACCAGACTTTCTGATAGAACACTGATATTATTGATTCAGAACTCACACAAACAATCGAAGAACACACAGATCACACTTTATTCAACCCAACGAAGATATACAAGTTGTAGACAATTCGAGATGCCCAATCTCCTAGCCCAGTTCTAGCCAAAATGACAGATACCTCTAGCTAGCTTATTCAACTTCTATTTATAGTAACAGTCCACGCAGGGACCTTACTAACTAACTAACAGACTAGTCAGTTAATCATTATTATTAACTGCCCTATTCTTCCTCCTTTTATATACTTTCTTGTAAAACTGGACCACATGCTTTACTCCTTGTCTATCAATACTCCCTCCCTGGAAATTCACCTTGTCCTCAAGGTGAAGCTCTGGAAATTGTTCCTTGAGTGCTAACAAAGGTTCCCACGAGTCTTCAAAGCTTGGCAGATTGCTCCAATGCACCAACACTTCCACATTTCCCTCCTTGTCAACCCTTGTATCCAAAATATCTTCTGGCACTACCTGTAGTGCCAATTCCTCACTGAGGCAATTGGGTAGAGGCTGGTAAAAAGTAGTAGGGGATATAGCCTTTTTGAGCAATGATATATGGAAAACTGGATGGATTTTACTGTCATCTGGTAGTTTGAGCTTAAAAGCTACTGAACTCAGTTTGTCAATTATCTCAAAAGGGCCATAATATCTGGGGCTGAGCTTTTGATTTATTCTTTTAGCTAAACTTCTTAGCTTGTAAGGTTGTATCTTCAAGTAAACCTTCTCTCCAACCTCCAACTGAACTTCTCTTCTGTGCTTATTGGCCTGTTGTCTCATCTGATTCTGGGCCTTAGCCAAATTCTCTTTTAACTCATCCAAAATTATGTTTCTCTGGGCAGTCAACTTGGAAACTTCTTCTACAGCGGTTAGAGTTACATCCCCTCTAATTACTGCAGGTGGATCTTGTCCAAATAGAGCTTTGTAAGGAGTAATTTTCAGAGCAGCATGATAATTGGTATTATACCAATACTCAGCCCAATGTAGCCATTGAACCCATTTCTTAGGTTTTCTTCCAGTCAGACAGCGTAGATAGGTTTCAAGGCATCTGTTAACCACCTCAGTTTGGCCATCGGTCTGAGGATGGTAAGCAGTACTGTATTTCAACTGAGTCCCAGCCAACTTAAAAAGTTCTGACCAGAATGCACTTAGGAATACACTGTCTCTGTCACTAACTCTGGTTTTAGGAAAACCATGCAGTCTGACAACCTCCTTGATGAATACATCTGCCACCTCCTTAGCATTGAAGGGATGTGATAGAGCCACAAAATGAGCATACTTGGTCAGTCTGTCCACAATGACCAAAATAGTATCTTTCCCTTTTGACTTAGGCAATCCACCAATAAAATCCATACTTATGTCAGTCCAAATGCTATTAGGAATTGGTAAGGGTTGTAACAACCCTGCTGGTTTGAGAGCCTGATACTTATTTGTCTGACAAATCTCACATTCTTCCACAAATTTCTTAATAACTTTTCTCATTCCCTGCCAGAAGAAAAGATTAGAAATCCTTTTCATGGTTCTAAAATACCCAGAATGTCCTCCAACTGCAGATTCATGATACTCCTTCAGTAATTTGATTATTCTCGGGGATCCTTGTGGTAAGACCAGCCTGTTGTTGGAGTAAAGTATTCCTTTCCTCATCTGAAATTCAGTGTGCAGGTCTGGATGTGAAATCACCTTCTGAATCCACTCTATACACTTAGGATCTGATTCCAATTCTTCCTCCAAGCCTTCCCATTCCTGGCATGTCACAATGGATAATGATTGGAGTATAGGTCTCCTGGACAAAGCATCAGCAGCTCTGTTTTCAATTCCAGGTCTATATCTGATAGTGAAATTATACCCCAATAATTTTGAAGTCCATTTTTGCTGCTCTTCTCCCATTTCTGCACTGCCAGGACAATGGCTAGAAGCTCTCTCTCATACACAGATCTGTTTTGGTTCCTCTTTGATAAAGCTTTGCTCATAAAGGCTATTGGCTTCCCTTCTTGCATTAGAACTGCTCCCAACCCAGTTCCAGAAGCATCAGTTTCCAAAGTAAATGTTTTATTGAAATTAGGTGTTGCCAGTACTGGTAAAGAAGTCATGGTCTTCTTTAATTCTTCAAAAGCTTGTAAAGCATTTTCATCCCATTGAAAACAATCCTTCTTTAGAAGTTGTGTAAGGGGCAAGGCAATCTTACTGTACCCCTTAACAAACCTCCTATAATAACCTGTCAGCCCTAAGAAACCTCTCAACTCCTTCAGATTCTTAGGTGCTGGCCAGGTAACCATTGCTTCAATCTTAGTAGGATCAGCTCTTATTCCTTCTCCAGAGATTATGTGCCCTAAGTAAATCAGTTGAAACTGCCCAAAGGAACATTTCTTTAGGTTAATCACCAGCTGATTATCCCTTAAAGCAGATAAAAGTGCTCTTAAATGTTCTTTGTGCTCTTCTATAGATCTACTATAAACCAAGATGTCATCAAAAAATACCAATGCACACTTCCTCAAATATGGCCTTAAAACCTGATTCATGAGAGCTTGGAATGTGGAAGGTGCATTTGTCAAGCCAAAGGGCATCACCAAATATTCATAATGTCCTTCATGCGTTTTGAAAGCTGTCTTCTTCCTGTCCTCCTCCTTCATTCGAATCTGGTGGTATCCAGATTTCAAATCCAGTTTAGAAAAATATTTGGCTTCCCCAAGCTCATCCAGTAGTTCCTCTATGACAGGAATAGGAAATTTATCTTGAACTGTAATCTTGTTTAGGGCCCTGTAATCTCCACAGAACCTCCCCCCACCATCTTTCTTTTTGGCTAGAAGTATTGGACTGCTGTATGGACTAGTGCTGTTTTGAATTATCCCAGAATCTAACATTTCCTTCACAATCCTTTCAATTTCAGTCTTCTGATAGTGAGGATATCTGTAAGGTCTAATATTAGGTATATTAGCTCCTTCTTGAATGGTTATGGAATGATCACAACTTCTGATAGGTGGTAGCCCTTCCAAAGGTTGATAAACTTCAGGGAATTCTGCCAAAATCTGCTCCCACATAGGTTCCATCTCCCCACAATTCTTCATGTTCAGTGTACTCCCTTCACAATAAACAAAATAACCATCCCCATTGTCTTGTAAGATTTGTGACATAGTTTTCAAAGAGACTTCCATGGAGTTCAATTTTGGATCTCCCTGAATAGACAGACTTTGTCCTAACTGCTGCCACTTGATAGTTTGTTTCTGGAAGTTAATTTCAACATACCCCAGGCTAGTCAGCCACTCCATACCCAATACAACATCTGTGCCTCCCAAACTAAGGATATAAAAATCCTGTTTAAGATCTGTACCTTGCAATCTCACCATCAACTTCTCAAATCTTCCATTATTAACTACCTTTTCTCCATTACCAATTTGAACCTTGTAACTAGGTATGCTTTTAAAAGGTAATCCCAGTTGTTCTACCAGTCTTTGAGAGATGAAATTATGTGTGGCCCCACTATCAATTAGCACCTCTACCAACTGATCTCCTTTCTCCCCTTTTACAGTTCCCATCACCTTGAAAGCTCTCATGGTAGGTATCCCTTCCCTGCTCATGAGAGACAACTGCATTGATTTAGATTCCATTTCAACTGCCTCCTCAGGTTCTGTAACCATGGGTCTGCCCTCATCCGGTACCTCTTCCCCATCTGAATCTTCAATAAGCATCAACTTGTAGTTCTTTAGCTTACACTCTTACAAGTATGCTCCTTACTCCACTTGTCCCCACATTTGAAGCATAATCCTTTTCTACTCCTTTCCTGGAACTCATCTTGAGACAACTGAGGTCCTACCCTTCTAATTCCAGAAGGTTGAGCTGCAGGAAACTTGTTTCCTCCCTTATCACTCCCAGAGTTGTTGTTCCTGTGTTCTGTAAACAACTTATTCTGAAATGACCAAGGACTACCAGATTTTGCCTTAAAACCATTTCCCCAAGTCTGAGGTTTAACTGGTGCATCACCCTTGTCTTTCCCAATCAACTTGTCTTCCTCCTTCCTTTTCAAATAGAGTGCTTCATTCTTCTGTTCAATAAGCACAGCCTTATCCATAATCTCTGTCAGAGACCTGGATGCAAACAATTTCAACTCCGATTTGATTTCCTCCTTCAAACCTGTCATGAAAACTCCTCGCAATAATTCCCTGTCCAGAGTCAGATGCGAAGCCATCACCATTTCAAATTCCTCTCTGTAATCCTTCACAGTTCCAGTTTGCTTCAAACTTAACAGCGGTCCATACGGAATTTGAATTAACTCTGGTTGAAACCTACGAATAACCGATTTCTTCAAAGCTTCCCAGGTTGTTTCTTCAGTTTGATTTTCCCACACATGGAACCAATTCAGAGCCCTATCCTCCATCGCAACCATGGAGGCTTCCACTTTTTCTCCTTCAATATGATTTAAGCGGAAGTACCTCTCCATGCGTACAATCCAATTGTAGGCTCCCTCACAATTGAATAAAGGTAAGTCTACCTTTCGACCAGGAACTCTACTATTTTCCTCACTTCGTCTAGCATTATGAATCTGAGAATGAACAGAGTTACCTCTGGAAGCTATCGGACTGCGCGAAGTCCTCGTGTGATGTTGTGGAGGTGTTCGCGATCGTCCTCTGCTCTGAAACTGTTCCGCCATGGCATCTATTTTAGCTGTGAGAGCATCCAGCGCTGAATGCATCTCCTGCTGGTTTCGCTCCAACGACTCCATA